AAATAGAAATCTGATCGACGTTAGAAACGTAATCAAGGTACGTGAATTTTTCCAACTGTACAAATCGCTGTTTTTATTATGTCAACATTATGAACATAATATAATATTGTGTAGTCTGCATAATGCATATATCTAATGAAAATTCGTTGTTTTATTCAGTATTAAAAAATATTCACCATGTCGTGGTGAAAATGATTGCTATAAAACAACTCGCGCATTTAAAACTTTATTTACGTTTACCTATGAAAAAACTTTCCAACGTCACGTGTATATACACGCATCGTATACCATGCAAGTAAATAAAATCAGAATGTACAAATAGAAAACATGACGCTTTGAAAAATAATCTGTAGATTTACGCAAATTATCATCGTCGTCGATTTACCAAATTTTTATTTAAATAAGACTATTAGAATTCAATGTTTTAGAAGGAAAATTTTATGTATTCGATCAAATAAAAAATGATAAAAAATGATAAAACATCTCTAAAGTAAAATTAGAACTTTAAATTCCGCCTACTTCTAAAGAATCGCGAATTTGGTTAGATTTCGCTAGATTGCAGCTGCCAACAAGAATTCCAACGGACAAAACTCATTTAGGAACTGTCAAAGTCGGATCATTCCAAGTAAAGGATACCTATTATCGATATCTATCGTATACATTTACCTTCGAAATGCTATAATAAAACCAAGAAAGTATGACGACTTGAAGAACTCTGTGACAGATTATTTCCAATTATAATCATTATTATGCAATAATTTTCTATGTGTATATAGCAATATTAAAAAATATAAGAATTTATAATTTGAAAAAACCATATTATTAAAACATTGTTATTTGTAGAACGTTAATATTTTTGATGTAAAACTATTTTATATGAATTTTCCCAATTGGATAATATTCTTTGACATTTAATTATGTCTTCATTATTTTAAAAATTCTGAAATTTTAATTTTAAATTCGATAATACCAATGAAAAAACTCAGTGTAATTGACGATGATATCGTCTATTTTTGAACTTTTCATTCAATTCTTGGTATTATCAAATTTACAATTTAAATTCCAAAGTTTTTAGAATAACAAAGAAATAATTAAATGTCAAAGAACATCGCCCACTTAAAAAAATCCATATATGTAAAATACTCTTTTCATATCGAAAGCATCCCACTACAAATGATAATGTTTCAATAGTATTGTTTTACGTTGATAAAGTATGTAACACGCCTCACAATTTTCAAAATACATACAAATATTTCCTAAAAGCATATCACAATTATAGAAAGTAATCTATAAATAATAATTTGTAAAATAACATTTAAATAATACAAGACGCGTGTCAAACGTATAGCGAGGCATTATTGTAAGATATCACTGCGTCGTACTCCGATGTCCGATGTCAAGGGTCAACAACCGCTGATATTAGACGATGTTAATCCCTAATCGAGACACAGGTTCGTGCTCGCAGGGCGTATTCATCCGGACACGTCAGGTCCACTCCACTTACACCCTCCGCACAGATAAAGGTGTCACGATTATGATAAATGCGAGTTCCGCGCACGAGTTAGGTAACGCTTAACTCAACGAACGAAGCCACGAATTTTATCTCATTGTATCCAAAGCCGACCGTAGGATTTAAACGTTTCCTTCGCTTGTATCCGCTGTAACGTGGTATCCCGCTAAATTACACGTTACACGAAGCTCGGCTGGGCCAAGATGTTAAATGCTGCAGCAAGTTTCTACCTGATACGCACGCGATCGACTAGGCGGTAGCAATTTTTGCGTTCTAATTTTACATTCGGAATTTCGAAATCAGACAGTTTTCATATAAAAAACATCCAGTGTCGGACAAAATTACTTTTCATCTAAAATGTTTTATAAAGCCTCATTTTCCAAATACTTTCTTAAAAAGTAAGTGCTGCCGTTCAAAGAAAAATGGGAAATTCACGCACAAGATGTGAAAGACAAACATTAACACCGTACCTATTATTACGATAGGAATTTCGGAAGCTACGCGACGCGGAATGTTTCATGTTTCCGCACGCTTGTTAGTCGTTACTTGATTAGAAGCCAATTAGAACGCGCACGTGTACCCGTACGTTTGAACGTCCCGCTTTCACAGGCAACCACGCATCCTCGTGCAAATTTGTAATTACACATGTAACATAATGCCCCTCACAGCCATAAATTGTTTCTTGAGGAACAGACGAAAGTATACAGTAATGCGCGTAAAGGCGTAGTATTTCTCTTCCTCGTTTACGTTTCTCTCACACGAACCTTTTTGGGGGCCGGAGTTATAATTTGTTAACGAAAGAATCTGAATTCTTCATGAATAATTTCCACAGCAAATCACGATTGCTTCTAAAGCGCATTGCAAATTCATGATTCGTGTTTCTACAGTGATTTACGAATTATACATATATTGTACATATATGTGTAATACAGAAGAATTATAATATAACAGACATCTGTTCGTGGAGGAGTTAATTACGCGGTAGAATATCTCGCGCCCGGTAGAACCGTGTCACCGGTCGGGCGTATCAATCGGTAATCGAAGCAGTTGATGTAATGTATGCGAACGTAAAGTGCACGATGGTGGCGACGTAACACACCGTAATTTATTCCGCAGAGATTTCGCGGTCTAGCGGATTAAACGGGACGATAAGACGGCTCGACGTTTGCGCGCGATGGGACACAACAGCAACGCGGACGAATTAACATATAGCGCGTTACTCCGCTGATGCGAGCTGACGCGTCTCCGCGCGACCAATCATAATTATTATTCACGAGCTTAATTAGTGTGTCACGTTGTTAACGAGGTCAGCCGCGGCAGCCAGCCGTCGAGTTACAATCTCGATTTAACAATGTCGTCAGTGACGGCTTTGATAATTAATTAATTCGTCATTAAATAGTGATGCTCGCTAACAAATTGTTTCTGTAAATGGCACTTTTATTCCCGCCGATGTGCCACGAGAAAGAAGCCCTAATCTTACCTCATTCATCATACCGCCCATTGTGCATGATTAATCCGACGGAGGCAGAGTCGGGCACGCGATTTTAATCTACATGTAATAAATAATAAAAATAGCAACCCATTAGTATTTGTAAAATCAATAATAACGATAAATCTCGATAAATAGTTGACAAACTAAAATAGACAAACTAAATTGCACGATTTATAATAAAGTTATAAATTAACAGCCAACTCAGATAATACATCAAATAAAGCAATTTTAAACGCACACAAAATACAAATGCGTAAAGTGCCGTATATAGATTTTGATAGGAATTTGCTTTCAGATTTTCTAAAAGAATTTTCCGATTAAACGCATTTCAACGAACAATAAGGAAGCAAAGAAATGATGGAACTGGTTGGAATAAATTATACCCGCACGATACGGCGCCTGCAACTTCGCGAACCACACAGCGAATTACTTTCATCTATCGATCTCGAACACAAGCTTACGCTATAATATAATACACAGTTGGCCATTGCCAGTATTAATAATTGCTTCGTTGTAACAGGCAATATCATACATCCCACAATCAACGCTTTTGCAAACTTCGCAGCACAGTGCATGACAGTTGATTATATTGGTTAATGTTATGAATTTCAAACTGCGAGATTAATACGTGCGAGATTAATAGTATCGATCTCGTCACCGTAAGTATATTCGGTATTATAAATAATGGAAAAGTAACGTTATCGTTATTTTATATACATAGCGCGCGGTAACGTCGTCGCATAAAAAAATTTGATTATTCACATGCAACTTTAAATATTATTTACAATTCACTGCTGCGTGTTGAAATTGATTTTCTAATTTATTCATCGCGCGTCGCGTCGCCATAGCTTTGAAAAACTGCATAAAACAGTTACATTCGATGAAAATATAACTTGCATAAAATATCAAAAGATTATATTTTCAGAAAATATATTATGTCGGAGAAAGAAGATAAAACTACGCAGGTTATAATATTTATAACCTCGTGAATTATACATCACGAAAAATATTATAAAATTATAATTTTAGACGAAACAGTTGTGCGGTTTGAACTTCTCTCTTGGTCAGACGCAAACAATGTAGGAATTGCTGGAAATTATTTGTCTAGACACGTGATATGGACACTAGTTACACGTCAGACGGAATTTCTCACCGACGACAAGCCACGTGTAAAGTTGTCCCAAGGTGCGAGAACCGAGAAGCGTCCCAGGACGATCAGCGTTTTATCTGTCTAACGATTATGTTGTCTACGGAAAATTAAGTTATCTTAGTGAGACTGCACAAGAGTGTGACATCACAAATGAAATTTTTTAAAGTAATTTATCAATTATTTCAAAGAATATTGAATTTTTAACCATTATTTTCCTTCAAAAAACAAATATTTGATGATCCCGAGTTAGCTAGTTTTGACAATCCCATAACACATAAATAATATATTTAGAGAAGATCTTGGAAATATAGCGCTCTATAATTTTTAAAGAAAAAGATAAAGAAATTAAAAACGTATATTATAAACAAAAAAAAAAAAAAATTAATAAGACTCGCGAAGGAAATTAGTGAAAACGCTAACAATAAAATGAATTATACCAAATAATATCCCGTAGTATTTCTTGAATTATTATAATCTTGTTTGAAAATGCATCTATCTGTTTTAAGATACATATAATGTTTTCATAGATTTCATAGATTGAACGCAAACATCAAACTGCAACAAAGATGTTATAAAGTACATTAATTTTCGTAATCCATGCGAATATCGCTGCATCGCAACGATTTTGTATGCAACGTAAAGCTTAACAAGTTTCGTGGGATCTAAAAGCCTCTTCGCGATAGTACGCAAATTATTATAAACTAACAACGTTACTTGGAACGTTAAGTTGCACATCGAGTATTAATTAATTTAAGGCATGATTGAAGTGCTCGTCGTAATTAGGCGAAGCAACTGTAAAAAGCAGTGACGAGAAGAAAGATTGTGTAATGAATTTTATTTTTGTACAGGAGGAACATGAAGTAACGGACAGCGAGCGACGCGCACTGTTGCCCCGGAAGGCTTTCCAGCGTCTGGCAAGACTGATAACATGGAGAAATACGGCATGGATTTCCCGAAAAGGGAATGGAGTCACAGGCTCAGTCTTCGTGGTAGCCGAAGGGCTCACGAGGTAACCATTTCGCCGGGAATTGCATTTTTACAATACCGAGCATGAATAGAATATGCATCATTAAAACGTGAATATAATTTTGAAATTTTCAATATTTTTAAATACAATACTTCGTTCAATATAATCAAATATTTGACGAAAATCTAAACAGTGTTGAGATTAAATTATTACCGCAAAGAGAACGTTGTAAAAATTTTCAATAAAATCTCATTTATAACAAAACACATCCGTTTTAGCATCGTTAGTTTAAACGTATTTAAATATTGCAGTTAATGTTCCAACATTTTACATTTTTATTATTATTATTCCTAATTGTGCGCAGTGCTTCCATGTTTGTTCGCGATTGTACGTTAAAAAAGGTAGAGATCGCAAGTTACACGCGAAGGATGCATGCCTTTGCATACATTATTCATAAGCGAGTTTTTTATTCGGGTTAAACGTTCATAGTTTCGCGATATCGTACATTGCTAAACTACATTTTTACATGTTGTTGTAAAATCGGCTGTGAAAGGATAAATTGGACGAATATGCCAGCATGCATTATTCCGGCGAGCATAATTGCTTTATGTTACATATCTCTCGGTATCGATAATCGTGGATTGACATAAACGTAATTCAATCGTTGCATATGCACATTTGTAATAAAGTTTATATTGTTATTACTTTACATCAATATTAATATCGGCAGATATATTCAGAAGCATAAAATTATTTTATACGTGGTATAATGTGCTATAGGTAATACATACTCATTATTAAAATGAGTTATATAGCATTGACAATAATGGCTTCTGCATAGAAATGGATTATAAAATCCAATACTCTGCTAATATAAAACGAAAAAAAGTTAAGTATTATAGATTGAAGAAATATTATTTTGTTAAATAAAATTATTTTGTTTAATAAAAAATAAGCTATAAGATTATATATTGTAACAGAATTTAAAAGTATCATATGATATATTCTAAAATTATGAGAAAAGTCCTCTATGATAATGATATAAAACGCCAGAGGTGATAATCAATCTTGTAGACATAATCCTCTCATTACGTACTACGGAGATATATTTGGCGGGATAATAATGTGCCAGCTGGTATGTTATCAACCCTTCACGCGGAACACATTGTACGCATATGTTAGAAACACGTCGACAAAGGACGCAGGCATACGGTACTAAATGCTCCGAGTGCTTAAAATTTCATCTAGTTTCATCAAAAGACAGTGAACATCCATTAACGCATTTCAGTCATTTTATCGTTGCATTTGTGTCAAACGGCGCTTATATGCGTATCAAAATATGCCTCATTAATTTTCACACATTTTAAAATGTTCGGAATAATCCACATTGATGATAATTTTTACTCTTGTATGAATAATACTGTAACATTTTATAAGATAAATAAAGGTGAGATTAATCAATTATATTAAATAAAATGTATATTTTATAATAATCCATTTCCAATGTATGGAATTTTTCAATTTTATATAAAATGAATAAGATATGTAAGATATAATCTTTTTTCGCATATTTGATAGATTGAACAAAAATACGAAGATTCGACAGAACAAGATTGCTTATAGAGAATTCTGTCGAATGCAGTAGTGTGCACTAATGCACATTAAAGGGGTTGTTCTATGTAAATTAACGTAAAGGCGTATACATACTAATATTGTATTATTGCACGTAAGCAGTTGAATTCGCGCAGTGCTTGGCATAAATTATCACATTGTTTAACAGAATATACATTAAGTGTTTTATTAAGTTTGTTTTTATCTCGATTAATATACAACAAACTTTTTAATCTGTGCATACTGATGCATCCAATTAAAAATTCGTCATTATAGATATTTCTAGTAAAATATATGAGAAAAAATTGCATTAAACACTTAAACAGGCTATTACATCAAAAATGGAAACGTTGATTGGAACAGAAAATAGAAAGACGAGGTAATAACGTTAACTTTGCGATCGGAAATATAATGCCCTTTGAAAATGGGGCAAACGCGATTAATTAAACGACTAACATTTAACAGTGCGTTTAAATGACATTTACGAGGCACTTGCAAATGTACAAATTACTCCCGCAATAATTGCGTGCTTCTCGCTTACAATCGCGTTCTCGCAATAAAACGGCATTATTGTTTTAATGCTACACTTTTATAGATACATATCTCCGCATTATTTTATATCGCGGTTTAATATACTAAATATGCTGGCGCAGATATTTTCAGACTCAGAAACGCGCGTAATACCTTAATACGCTCCGGCAAGTATTTTCTAGCTGAGAAAGCAGTCGACGCTCGACATTTTGTCCCGGTTGCGCATGTAATCCACCGACGGCACGTAACTAACCCGTCGCACAATGCATTCGTAAAGCAACGCATATGTGGAATACCGCAAGACGTACGTTCGAGTAAAAACTTCCCTCAAATGCGTTTCACGCCGCGCGATTCCATTCATTGCCACAGATATTGAGAAATGCTTGAATGAAAGATCAGTTACTGTACGTTTCGCAACTCAATGCGCATTTTAATGGAAAATATTAAACGAACTGAAATATAAAGTAGTATCTTTACATGGAGAAAATTGTATATTAAAAATTACTATGTATGACAGTAGCCGCGGACCGAAAATTTTTACTATGTTTCACATGTGAAAAACATTATTGTCATACATAGTAATTTTTTATATAAAATTTTCTTCATGTATATCTCAGTTCGTTATATCTTTCATTATTTTATACGTTTGATTAATATTATATAAATTATTAATAATTATTACTGATACATCATTATATTAATTTTAATTATTTGCTTATATTTTTTAATAATTTTATATGCAAAAAACAAATACTAAATAATATATGAAAAATTAGCATTATTAATACAAAAATTAACATAATCAATATTGTTAATAGTAGATAAAAAACTAGTTCATTCTAATAAAAACTAGTTCAAATCTAATAAAAATTACGAATCATAATTTATGATCAACTATGATTTGAACAAAAAATATCATAATGTTGAGACAATAAATCAATAATGTGTACTTGGATGTTAATTGTGCCTTGTAACAACACCTGCGATTAACGTGACATATTGTTAAAAGCGCATTCGTGTTATAGCATGCATTGTGCTCGATTATCTTGTAATAGAATACATTATTTTAGAATATAATATTGCAAATGTAATTAATTTTCGTATTATCTTGTTTTTCACATTACGATTAAACAAAAATATATATATAAATAATATTGCAGTATCAAAATAAATTAAATTTTTTTACTTCTTTCGCGTTGTTTCATCGATAGTTAACACACAATTCTGCAATTCAAAATATTTTCTTGTAATTTTAACGCTTTGCCGTGATATCTTCTATTTGTCGCATTCGTTCTCCGATCACGTACGAGTCATTTATCGGTGGAATTGCACAAAATAATTTACCTGTGTAGATCTACCTTGTATAATATAAAATCGATTTACTATCTTCATTCATTCGGAAATGTTTTGATTTGAGTATCTTACAATTCATTGAATCCAGTTTCGAATTATATAATATATTTCTTCCTAAAATAGTTTTTTTATCAGCGATATTTCTCCCACGCATTTTGATAATTAATAAAAATTATGTATTACTAATTACAAAAATACTTTTTGCTTTAAATTAAATAATAATGATTATATCTGACTCTCTCTCTCTCTCTCTAATTAATGCATACTGCAGTATCGTTTTAGTGAATATTCTCCTATCGCATTCAAAATGTAACGTGGTAATTATGCGAACGAAACCATTCATTTAGTAAAAGCTGAAATTACGTAAAGAAAATAGTACTTGCTTAAATATAACAATCACATCTACATATTTTTCTAAAATCGCCAAAAGTAACAAAGTTGCATTTATTTTGTCTATGTATTCTATGAGTACATGTTAAAATTCTAATAAAGCATTGCGCTTCTCAAATTATAAAAATCATTATGGTGCACAATATTTTTATAGAAACAGAACATCTCATGTTGAGTGTTATTTGCTTCAATAGTTGCTATATAAAGTACACTTTCTTTGGTAGTGTTTTTCTCGACGCTGTTGTAAATGGCGTTCGCCTTGACGATTGGCGTAGAAAAAGCGCACGTACATCGTTAGGACGAATAAAAAAAGACGTCTCAAATCGGACGTGTCGAGAAACACGGAGTGTTCGCTCGGTAATATACGATGAAATATAGTATGCGTTCGTAGTGAGCCGCGGGGAGTCGTGTACGGCCTGGATCCGGCGCGCGTGCGAGCTTTCCTAACTAATCAACACGAACGAACGCAGAAAAGTTGTCGTTGAATAATTTAAGAGTGGAACTCGCCGACAATTTCCACGGTTTCACCTACGTAACGATCCTGCGACAAGGCGACCCGTTTCACTCGTAACGTATAATCGATTCATGAACCGATGTTCTCTGCAAGGCGAGCGATCGCTGAAAGTAACGAGGGTAACTAATGGAAGATGTCACCGAAGAAAGAAACTTGTATTCATCTATATCAGGTGAGAAAGGGAAAAAAAACCAACAAGTGTAGGCGCGATTCAGAACCGTGTATCGCTCTAGCGTTCTGCGATAAAAAAATTATTTCGACTGGAATCTTCCATTCCATTTTCACTAATTGTGTGCTGCATGATTTTATATCACCATTAAGCTCCGTGACATGGATAATTTGCCAAATAATTAATACCGACTGTAATATCGATATGCTGTGTCCGACCAACCGAATGCGATCTTTTTGTTCAATAAATGGTATTAATCGCGTACTCTCCCCGTACTCAAAATGATTAAAATTTATCGATGAGAAAATACGAAATAAACATGTACGCAATCTAGGGCAATGAATTGTTGCATCGACATAAAAGAAATTACGCTAGCATTTTCGCTTAATCAACAACGTGCGGAGTATAGAAAGAAAAAAAAGAGGGCGCCTAATACGAGACCAGTACGAGAGGAATTTCGTGATTAATAGAAACAGAATGTACAACTTTGTTTTGTTCTGTTGTTAAACATGCCGCGCAATTGGCATGCTTATTTGTTCGTTCATGAAGCGATACCTAAATCAAAATAATACATATATGAAAGTCTCTTTTTTTATACTAAAAAATCTGAAATTTTATGAATACATTAAATTTAAAACTTAACAGGTGCCATAGCTTTACATTTTAATAAATTGATGTAATTAAAGATCCACATTTGAGATACTTCGTTATAATCATTAATGTACACTGAACATGTATTTAAATGAATGAAAGATCCATTAAATATGTAGTGAAACAATGTAAATAGACGTCAGCAAAGCAAGTACAGGTGATATGAATTTCATATCCTTTTTGGAATATCATTACCGGAATGTGACACTTTACACGGCACCCGGCGGCACTTAAGTAGTACATGGTAACGAATGCGCCGACACGAAAGTCGTTCGCTTCACGAAAGTAAAAGAACATCGTGCACTGATTTTTTTTCTGAGAATACCGTCAATCATAATAAAGTTATTATCGCAATGCACAATATCAAAAAACATTATGAAATAGAAAGATTACATCACGAGAAATGCATCGGTCGTGTATTTTGAAATTTCTTTCATTAGTTGAAAATTAAAACAGAATCGTGAGTATTTGATTAATAAACCATATGCAAAATAAATATTAATGATGTAACGATAACACTTCATAAAGAAATTAAATATATACTTTGTATAAGATTCTTTTTTTCGAAACTGGAATCATCGATTCAAGTATGTAGAAACTAAAATTAAGAACATATTATATAAAAAATTTTAATAAAATTATTAGTGTAAAAATTTGAATTTCTGATTACAAAATTCTTTTTTGTGTAGCGCCCAGATGTAAAATAGCTATTTTCGGCCGCATTCGGAGCAAAATAGATATTTAATTTGTATCTCTCGCCATCGCATTAGCACAAAGTTGAAAAACGCGCGTTACGCGACATATAATATCGTTATCGCAAAAACTGCGATAAGCTCGCAGCGATGAAAGCTTTACCTTTGGAAGTCTCACCAAATTGAAAACTGACTGGTGAGATGATACAAGGATAATACACGAAAAGCAGCACAAAATCGAGAGATTTGAACGTCTAAGAACGCGAACAGGGAATACGATACGTAGATGTCAGAAATAAGAACGAAGAATACGCACGCGAAAATCACCACATATGTATATGTAAAGACAAATCCTGCACGCTATATTTTTAAATAAAAACAGATATAGATATTACTTTAACACTGCGCCCCACAATTTTAAAAGATTCATATATCAATTTTAACGATTCAATTTTAATCAATTTTGACGATTTATGTATCAATTAATTTATTATATGTACGTTTAATACATTTAATTTAGAAAATTTTTAATATTAAATTTTTTATTATATATGAGTTATTTGAAAACTTAATCTCGCGAAATAAAATATATATATATATATAAACATCAATATAGATTTTTTTAAAATAACCTCGTAGTCATCTTAAGTAAATTTCATATCTTAACTGACGAATTGTATATAAAAAAACTGTCTGCAAAGTGTTTGCTAACAAATCGGTGGGCAAATCAATTGTACAAATATCGTTTTAATAAAAAAGCTCAACGGAGCTTTGTCCCATCTTATTCGTTTGATTTCCATTTATTCCAAAGAAAGAAAAATCCCTTTCTGGAAAAAAATTTTCGTGAGATAAAAAAGTGATACAAAAATTAATTGCCAGGGATATTTTACAGGCTACAACAAATCGAGTTTTATATGGTTTTGAAGTATTCTTGAAGTTCAAGTGGATTATATTGTAAAATAAAAATAATATTAAAAAATATAAACCGTTTTTCTATTTTCGAAAACTTCAAGTAATCCATGTTTATAATTATAATTTTTACGTAAAGAAGGGGATTGAGAGCCAAAGCAGGTTGTCAACAGCTTGTATTATACAACGATGATTATATTCATAAACGTTTCAGAAAGATTATATACTGAAGAGTCAAGATTTGACCGACATAATCATAATTAGAAGATTAATACAATCTGCTTTCTTAATCCCCTTTCTTCACATGATTTATTATTTTAAACAAAAGTCTACACTATTCAATATAATTTTTACTATTTTATATAAAAATAAGATTTACGTAATAAAATCTGGCTTCTTTGCGATATTACTACTCATATATTGAATCCCAAGTGAAAATATCATACTGGCAAAATTACCAGTATTCTACTGAAAAATAAATGTAATCTGACCCTAGCGATTTTCGTTAAGAAAAAATAGCCACCAGATACTTCAACTGCCCCATGAATACATGAATAGTAAAGGAAGAAGTATTACGCACTTATATCCTTAATCCGACCCTGGTCCAAAAAAAGTATACACAAGAATGTCTTCAATAAAATTCCCTCAATTTCTCTACGAGAGAGGATTCGTAAAGGACGTCCATGTCGTATTAAGTTTCTATTTTCCACGAAAAGAAAAGCTCGACCCTTCTTTCCGACCACGCTTTTATCTCTTCATTCTAAGGGTGTTCGTGTTTGAAGTATCAGGGTTTTGTACCAAAGATGCGATACAATATAATAAAAATTAGTTGATAAAAGCAACATGATGTAGATAAAAGAATATAAAACCTTCGAACATTATATAATTAATTATTGTTAGAGATATATTTTTATATGTATTTTACATTGGTTTGACTTCTAATTTTTATTAATTGTTAAAATGCATTGTCGAGTTCTTAATATAATTGCATTTAATGAAATATGCAGATATACTACATTATAAGTATAAAATAACAATAATAAATTATAAATATATGTTATTTTAATTAAATTTTCGTTCACTCAATTCTCTTTCTATCACACTATAGAATAAAATAAAAAAATATTTAATTTGAAACTAATATTTTAATTATTCTTATGTATGCTTTCTAAATTTAATGGAAAGATTTTTTAAGATCTTTTTCTCAAAATATCTCTAGAATTCTAATTTTCTTAATAAGCAATACGCTAATTAAGTCAAGTATACAGCCAGCCACCTCTCGCATCGATATAATTAAATCAGGCTTCAAATAATTTAGCGTGAATTCGCTGTCTCTTGTTTGCGCATCATAATAAAATGACTGTGTGTATTTACGTAAGCGTGCACACGGCTGCACACGACTGCATACGGCATGCAAGAACTCTCGCATCCATTATTCCCACATGTATCATGTATGTACTGATGCGCCAAACGCGCGGCATCGAGAGGCCATTGAAAAGACGGCATAAAAAACCGTTCCTGTCGTGAAAGCATAGAAAATACGACGAAAAGGCGAAACGATGCGGCTTGTTTACAAACCATGATTCCAATTCCCGTAACAGTTCGGAGGGGTGCGCTCATCGATTTTGAAAAAACGAGCTCTTTTCACTTCGCAAAAGTTGCTTTCCGCGTCAACAACTCGCATGTCTCGTAATCGCGACTGACGGACGCAACCACATATGTGGATGATGACTATGTTGAAATCTCTGACAGTTGACGCGGCTTACTTCAAGTTATCCGGCAACGCGCGACGTCATCCCGATACACGCAATGTCATTCCGCGTGACGTTATTTCCGGTTTAAAATACAGTAAACCACTATTTTGTATCTTTAATAAATTCGCCGTTAAATTAATCTTTTCTCAAAAAACCTTCCGCCAAAGATTATTGTTTGTTGCATGTTAAAATGTTCAATTTAAAACATATTTAATTTTATATCATTTAAAATTAATACAGTGTTATTGAAAAAAAATTAAAGCTTTTAGTCATATAAAAGTCTAATTTATTATCTCAATACTTATATTTTTATTTTAAAAAAGTCATGTTGAGCACTAACGAGCAATATAGCACGAGAAGATAGCACAAAGTTACTATCTTCTGTTGTAGTCGGTTTTTTTTTATTAATTCTGCATATATTTCAAAGATTCTTTGATAATCTTAAATACAAGAGACTGAGAAAAGGTCAACAGAAAAGCACATTTAAGATCAAGAAAGGAAAAAGATTTTGAAAAATTTTTGACATAAGTGTAGCTCATGCATGATATTATGCATTGTGGCACAAACGCAGTGTCACGTTTCTCCGAGTTCTGCAATTTCCGCGTAAAATTGTGAAAATTTACGTAACGGGTGTCGACTTTCTTTTGACATGACTAAGTCAGTTCTGCCTACGCTTTGAGTAAAACCAAGTAGATATTTTCGGTGCCTGAGGCGACATAAATAATGGCGTCTCTGTGACATAACACTCCTTCTGATCCGATATTAAAAATATCTCTTTCCCAGTAAAATGGAGAAATAATACGTACAAAGTAGATTAAATGGCGCGTAATATTCTTCCACATATTTGCATTAAAAACTCATGTCCATAAAAATGTACATAAAGATCACGATAAGTAATACATTTATACGTGAACTTTAAATAAACGGTACGTTATAAAGATTTTTCACTTGAAACATAAATACTGGGAAAAACTTTATTTATAGTTCTATGCAATATAAAATAGTATCTCACTATTATAAAATATTAAGTACTAAACGTCGTGAAAGATTATAATAAAATAATCTCAGAATTTTCCCCTGGGTTTATCAATTTCTGATTAAAAAAAGAGAATAATCATAAATATATTATTCAAAAAATTTATCGGTCAGCGAATAAGAATCAAAGGCATATTTGTCAGTCAACAAGTTTCTAAAGCTGACATCTCGAAATGCAAATTTCTAAAAATTTATGCGCGATGCAAAATCATCTATTTTCTTTTTGCTAGGGCGAAATTGGGCCCAAAACAATATCCGGAGCTCCCAGAAGCACCAGAAGATGGGCAAGCCTGAGGCAACATGTGAGCAGCAGCAATGATGGTGGTAAACCGCGCGTTGAGTTGTTGTTCGATACGCAGAGTTCTAAACCCTCCACCCCGTCCTCGCAACCGCATACACCGAATACGCCGAAAACACCACATACCCCGCCCATTAAGAAGTCCAATTGGGAGGTCATCGAGCACTTTACTGGCGCGCCGCGTCCGTCCATCATTACGGTGAGTCATCGTGCTTTACTAAAAGCTCTCTTTTTACTAAGTATGAGTAAGAGAATATAAATGTATTGCAAAAAGTAATTATACTAAAAAAGTCCATGAAATAATAAAAATCTTATTCTTTAGAGATTTCAAGTAAAAAAAATTATACAATATCCTAAAAATGGAGAATGTACTTTTAATGTTAAAAACATAAAAAAAATATATATTTTTATTTTAATTGGCAAATTAATTCTTTTTTAAATTACAAATAAACAAATTAAAATAAAATTGAATATTATAATAAATTGTTCTATCTCTTTTAATAATTATAATATGAACTACATTTCTTAAAAAGCAGCTTGATTTGTAAAAAAAGATAAATGACCAGATAAAATTAATTTAAATATTACATTATAACTTCGTACCTTGTATTTAGTATGATTGAACGGCAAATAGCGTTAATTAATGTTTCTCAATTGATCAAGCAATCATCAAACAAATATTTAAAATTATAAAAATTATAGCCTATATTAAAAAAAAAAACTGTTTAATTTGTCAGAAAAAATAAATGATTGGGTGGAATTAATTTAAATATTATATTACAGCTTCGTGCTTCGTGTGTTTAATATAATTGAAGAGTAAATACCTCACTGAGCTAATTAATTTTCTTCAATTCATCGAACAATTGTCAAACAAATATTTCTAATTAATAAGGAATAATAGCCCATGGCTTATTTTAATGCCATATTATTGGCATTTATATATAATACAAATATTTACTAAATCTTATTCGCTATCACAATGTTTTTTCGAAAGATTATATATTTAAATCTATAGAAAAATTATTAAAAATTTTTTCTATGTTTTTATAAAAAATTTTAAAAATATTTTTCTACATATATTAATTTTCCCATAAAAATTATTATCAATTTTAATAAATGTTTCAAGTATACACAATTTTCGTACAAACTTTTACAATGTTAATAACTATGTATTGGATGACAAAGTAGGTATAGAGTTATTAAAACCCTGATAATCTCAAAAGAATCCTTCGACGAGTTTTATCATTATCCGCGAACATTAAAAAGCTTTATCTCGGAGAACATGTTTCCTCGTTATCGAACGTTCGGGTAAAATTTCGAGTATCTCTGGGAAAAAGAGTACTTTATTAACGATGCGCGCGCGCGTGACCGTATGAGCGATGAGCTTGGTTCGGTATTTCCGCTGCACACGCATCACGTTTCTCTATTACCACGGTGGAGTCTCTATCAGAAGGAATCGCTGAACAAAAAGAAGAAACGAGAAACGGTGCGGAAAGGCGAAACCACTTTGTCAGATCCTTTTCCCTTTGATACGTCTGCTCAATTTTCAAGATGGAGGCGCGACGCCGTGCATTACATGATACGCGATGCTCTGATATTGGACTTCACCAATAAATAATGAAACCGGTTTCATCGATAATCGATATGTTCAATCGTTTGATTATTCGGCCGCTTTTTACTCCCCTTTTGCCGTATTGAGTTTACGGACTAAATTTTTATTATACATCGTATCGAAAATTTGCCGAATTGTTGACTGTATTACCTTCATCAAGATTAATATTGCCGTTTTATATGATAAACGAACGAAATATCAAATTAAGTTTTATCGGTACAAAAATTACACAAATACGTTACAACGTTGCAAAAATATGGAGATGAAGAAGCAGGATGAACAAACAAACGGTAATAATTTTCTATCGGCAGCAGCGTAACATTTCGTATGCATTTTGTGCATTCGATGATCCCTCTCGGAATGAACGGAATTATCGTTACGGAAACTACGCGCGGTCGACGTACAAACAATAGCACGGGGTTCGGCAACGATTATCGTATTACAGGTAAACACGCTTGCCGACTACCGTGTGTGCCTTTTGTTGAATCACATTTATGCACCGTGCTGTTTGAGCGATGAATTGCTGCGCAGCGATACTACAGGGTGTCGTGAGATTAACTGAATTATGAACACGCTGTTTCCGATAAAAAATTTTAAATCATTCTTCACAAATCGTCAAACATTTACAATATTTTGTAATTAAAAGATTCTGAAATCAGCATTTATATTAAAATCTTTTTAAAACTGAATGACAAAGACTGCATTATTACTTATTTCCGGCTGCGAAATTTAATTTCTACACAGAGAAAATTTTATATCAAAAATTACTATAATATGGCAGTAGCTGCGGACCATCAAGGAATTATAAGTTTAAGTGCTACAGCCATTATTTTAAAAACAATAAAACAACTTTTTATGCTTTTTTTATGGTACAAATTTTTGTTACAAAGCTAAAACTTGCCGATTAAAAGTTAGTATTGCAAAGAAAAATAAAAAATATAATTGTCTACTTCCTGTTGTTTACAAGACACTCGGTATATCTCGATTGCTCGTGTTTATAGGTGGCCAGAGGGTCAGAGGTCGGTATGGCACCAACGACCGGAAGGGAGTCCATAACGGAAACTACAGCGAACGCGGGAATCACGCAACGCACACGGAAATGCGCTCTGAGCAGATTCCTGAGCTCGTTATGCGGCTCTCATCGCTTCAAGAATCTGCAGGTAAGACGCGTACTTTTTACGTGGCGCGCGTTCGCCTTTTTCCTTTCATTTATTTTTCCTCTTTCCATAATTACTCGGAATATATTTTTTACTCTTAACAAGAGTGCCGCATAATTGCACCGAGTGCAATCGGCATATCTAATAAATATTAGATAAATTCAACATGAACGTAGATTTGCGTCAAAGTAGAAACGATTAGACGTTCTCCGCCATCGTGTCTGACCACGCGTCGGTTAATCTACTACCTATGTATACTATCTACCTGTCTCCACTGCGATAGCTCTACTGCAAATGCCGGAGTATAAGCGGCAAATTGGATTAGTCTGAAGTTAAATATGGCATATCAACGTTGGAGAAAGCGCACTGTAATTAGAATTTGCTGAATTTAAATTGTGACAATTTGCTCAATATAACTCGTACTGATAACAATTATTAAGTTTCTTTCGAGTTAGCTATGTGAAATTGTTAATTATGTTAGTAATATTATTGTGCATTCAAAAGTTATATATTTCTAATAACAATATATAGTTTTGAATCATTAAAAATTTGTCGAGATAAGCTGATTGTGATGATAATTGAAGTACAGAAAGTTTATCTTGTCAATAGTTATCTTTCCGATAAGTATTTTGATACTTGAAGCTTATAATAAATCTTCTACGATTTATAAAAAAAATTACAAAACTATCTTCAGCAAACGCGATTGCTTTAATGATGAGATAAACTCAGAAAAACTAGTAAATCAAATATTTATCTTCCTTAGCAATCAATTTAATTTTCCATCTCATTAAATAAAAATTTTCGAAAAACTTGACGCTAACAACTTCGATATCATCTCGGCGATGTCTTAAGTCAACGTCGGTGACATTCCCAACTCTTGTCATGCAAATCAACGACGTTATCGAAGATTAATCTGAGTTCGTCGTGCGGAGGCACGCGTGAACAAGGGAGGCGCATTGGCGCCGTCGATTGACGTGAGCCGTGCTGCGTAGGAGTAGTAATACGCGTCAGAGTTCGCGAACTCGGTCAGGCGAGGAAGAGAAAAACAGAGAAAAACCAAGATAAAAGAGAAAAAGAGAAGAGGAAGAAAAAAGAAAGAAATCGAGGATGTAAAACTGCGCAACAAGTTTCGACGGTCGGTGCCCGGAAATTCGCATCGCATAATAAAGCTCGCGCGTCCAGATTCGTGATAGTTTCGAGCCGAAAACTTTTCAGGCAATATTCCTCCCTCCCTTCTTCGATCGTGGCACGAATCTAACGCAAATTGTCCCCCTCTCTCTCTTCATATCCGTGAACATGTCTCGAACACGTCGCGTGTTCACTGTGTTTTGCGGTTGTATCATCGATTCTGTTCTATGTGAAATAGAACGCGCCTGGCGAAGATACAACGTGATGTCCGTGAAGCTGCGAAATCCATTCGTAGCATAAACGACGCGGTTAAACGCGTTAGCCGACCCTTTACCATCTGTAGGGTACAAACGGAAATATATTGAAACGTCTCGCCCGTCAAATGCAGCGCACGCTTCAACAGGAACTTTGGTATATGGAAATATTACGAAGCTATTTTAGAAATATGCGAATAATACGAGTCGAGAATATTCATCGCGTTTACTTTGTATCAGAGCAATGTGATCTGTAAATTTAACCTAGTCGTATTACGGCTACTATATGGAGAATTTCTCTCTCTCTCTCTTTCTCAGTAAATATTATACTTCTAATATTACTGATTATAAAATATTATATAATAAAATAAAAAAATAAAAAATCTGAAATAAGATATTTTTGACGTTACATGTTTTTAACGTATTGGTTATTAAAAAGCGCTGGTTAAAACTTCGGATATTTCTAAAAGAAAAAAAACTAGAGCGTGTTAACTCAGTCGCTCGACTGCACAGCTCTTCAAGAACAAGGCGTTTTCTACGTTGCATCGTAAGTAAAGCTGAAATGTCTGGAGAACTTAACGATCAGTTTTCTAGTAAAGAAAAACGACACTCAGCCATTTATCCAACGAAGAGGTCTCCTGCACTGCCATCAAAAGTTTCATACATAGGAAATACATTAGATACGTATTTCCTTCCGCAATTTCTCTCCGAGCATAAATTTGTTATTCATTCTCATCAACGGCGTTGAGCTGTTAATTTTCATCATAAATCTTCCCTTATTCATTTCTTCTCGAGCAACGTGCAGACTGAATTTATAACGAAACAAGAAACTTGACTGCCAACATTAATAACGTCAATCCCGAATCTCTGGAACCCGAATTTCGTAAAGCAAACTTACTGACGACGACTGGGAATTGAGCAACCAGGTCATTGAAATTAACCTCGGGTCAAAACTCTTATTCATTAACCACTAAGACTCTCGTGTACTCATTTTATTCCGAGCAGTAGCTTAAGTAAATATTCAAAACTTTCCTTATCTATTGCCCTCAATTGATAAACATTACATCATTATACAGAAATTATGTTTTGTCTTCTTCGAAAGACTGATGTCTTGTATAACATATAAAGTTGATATTTTCTACAGTGTAACTTGTATAGATATGTTTCTCTTATAACAATAAAAATGTTGATATTTTTAATACTAAAAATCTGCTATGATCTGAACAGCAGATTAATAATGCAAAATACGAAGATAAGTAAAAAATGAAGAAACATTTAAAGAATCAAACCTTTTAAAAAAATTCTTTTACTTTTTTACTTTCTCTCATATAATAATATTAATCAATAAATTTAGTAATTAGTATTAATAATAATAATCATTAAAGGTTAAAATTTGATTAATTAAATGTGAAGTTAATATAAAGATTTGGAAATTGCGAGTTACACTGCGATTAAAGTGGATGTTGCAAAAATAGCCGTAAGTATCAGTTTACGAATCGATGTAAATTTCCAGATTTCACGTATTACACGTGGAAATTCAAAAGTGGCGATCCGTGGATTCAAAAATTGGTCGGTGATTGTCATGAAAACGTGACGAGATAACAGGAAAACGATGCGCAATATTCTTCCGACGAATCCCGAGAGAAACGACTTATATTGTCTGGTCACGTAGACCGGAAACCGGAGGCCGGAGAGAGTGCGGGGAAACCCATGGGCACCTTTCGCACGACACGCGTCAATTTGATTGCATTCGCACGAGCGATATTCCCGCCGGCGATGCGTCGCGACGCCTTCGACGCAACAGTTCTGATTCGTCCTCATTTTCCGTTCGAACGGGCGGACTGAAGGGAATCCCGTCATTCTAACGCTGGCATATACTGTCATATATTCGATAAAATGGATGTCCTTATCGACATGTTAAAGCAAACGCCGAACTGCGATAATAACAGATGGTATCGCGTTATATTCTATTGAATAGAGTAACTGAAATACATTTATTCGAATCATTTATGTTGAAAATTTATTATAAAATGTTCAATATCGGATGGTTTTTTTCAAACAATGTCAGAAATGTTATTCGCGAATATTATGACTTATTTAGAGAGACTCGACTTTTCGTGATTAAAAATACTGGAATATCAACGCGCGATTTGTAAATTATAAATCTTAATTTCAAAATTGGATTTTCACAAAATAATTTTTATGAGATCAGAAATAGTTTTAAATTATTTAAAAAATAATATTTTAATAGAAAATAAAATATATAACAGAAGTGCTAAATACAACATTGCAGTAAGCTGAATGTCTGTAATATTATTCAAATGTAGAAGAGAAAATATTTCTTCAAAGAGCAGCTGTGCGGTACAAATGTATGCAAATGAAGAAAATTTTCAACAAAATTATGCATAGCGTCTGGGAATATTTCGTCACATGTGCGTAATTATTCATATTTCATCGTATGATAGAGGTTAATTATTCTCCTTTCTTTTCCAACAGTAGATGAAATGCAACAACATTATGTTCAATTACTATCTCATTGATCTTTTATTGCGAGCATTAATTGTGTAAGAAAATTCATGAGATAAAATTGACGCTTGTCGACTTGCAACAATTTGAAAAATTTTATCCACATATTAAGTTAATTATCCACACATAGTTTTAGACTTGAAACAAATTTTTAGATTTCTAACAATAAGTATACATGAAAGTATACGCCGCTATGTTCGTAAATATATCACGCCAATCTATGAAAATATAAAATATTTGTATCTTAAGCTATTTCTATTGTAGCATCTCTTACATCATTATTCAAGGCAAAGGACGATATTTAATTTTCCTATACGAGACTTTCCTTCTCGACCTTTCTTGCTTCCGACGAAGGAAACTCTGAAATTACAGCGCGGGCAAATACAGCTTGCGAAGCGACTTAAATAAAATTTATTTTGGCCGTACAACCCGACAGGCTTAATCCGTCCAATATTTGTCATTCCGTCGCGATCGTTCCCGGCTTACAATCGCAGCCGCAGAATGCACAGCTCGTGAATCGCGGTGAAATTGCGCCGAGATGGTAGTCGACGCTCGATTACCCGGAAGTCTCGACAGATGTAAGCGGAGCAAAGCGAAGGAAAGAAACACGACAGAATAAGGAAATTTTCAAAAAGACGAGAAAGAAAAGAAAGTGGCTCTCTGGGAATTTGTTCCTCGTATCGTCTGATCGTTTGGCTTATTTTCGGTTCGATAAAGTCTGCAAACTTTATGACACCTTTCTTCCGACCTGGATAGGATCATTTTTCAACGACATCATAAGAAGGCCGCAGGATTCGAAGTACTCCACGTGTATAAACGTGCGAACGAGATATCGAAAGTTGAACGTGGTGCATCGCAATTTATATCCGCGATTTACGTCACGAATTTCCGCAAAGCGCCCTTCCTTTGAGAATAGAATAGATTATACATTACGCTCATGCGAGAGAAATATTGAGATCCTCTCTGAAAACGGAATGAAGATAGCAGAGAGCTTGGACACGGTTATTTTGACGTCGTTGTAATTTATATCGATATTGTATTAAATTATCGGATCATGAAATATTTTAAATATTTTTGAACAATAAGATTGTCGCAATACATAATAATAATCGCGTATAATAAGCAATATATTTGCAAAACACATTCGTTCGAAAATTGCTCGCTAAAATTGCGAAATGCCAGTATCGGAAAGAAATGAACATAGAAAATGCGATTTTCAAGCGTATCCGCGATGTCGCTCTGGGAACGATTGTTCGCGTGCGTTTCACGGCACGGTTGGAGATTAAAATATTAAACGAGTGCAATAATAAAAAAAAAAATAGCGCTCTTTGTCAATTTGCTATGACCACTGATAACTCTCACCAACGGACTTTCCGATTGCAGCCAATGACAGTAATTCCATTCGGCACACGATAAGATCTCTCCTCTCTGTGCCAATCATATAGATACCAGCGGAAGAAAAATCGAGCTGCAACTATCTATCGATTGAACAAACTGCGACCGTCATCTATCAGGGGCTACTCTCTCTCGGTCTTTTTCTCCGTGCCTCTGTCGAATTGAATTTAATCAAACCGAATTTTTGCACTCGCCATTCAAAAGCCAACCGAAATTCGCTTAACGGACAAAAATGTTTCGTCATGTGTATCGCAATGCCGTAAATATCGCAATCATGTGATATATTTAGAGCGAGAGAAAAAAAAAACAGTTAACGAATAAACAAGATGAAATATTTGAAGGATGACAGGAGGCATTTTGATTTTTCTAGAATAATTTTAGGATAAAGCATGATTGCTAAATAATCGGTAATAATTGATATACGTTTAAATATAGTTTTGGATAAAAGAAAAAATATATATTTATAACGAAATTGCAAACTATTGACAAAACAGAGCAAGAAGAGAGTCTAAAATAATTCTATTGCATTTTTTGGAGACAAGATAAAAATGATAAAACTGTAAAAAATTTCAATTATAATATAATAATGCTAATAAATAATTTTAAAAAGTATAGAAAATTAAAGAATTTAAAATTAATATAGTTCATGCTCGTGAAATTGTTTTTTCTTTTTTTTTAACAAAAAAAAAACGATATTATCGAAGTATTGCCTAGAGAGAATATAATGCATCTTTCGAATGCACCGCTGCATTGCAGGGAGATAAATCAGGAATATAGGAAGGCATACAGAGTCTACAAGAGTACATGAAAATAAAATCCAATCGCTCCTGGTTCCCCTTTCCCGCTTCACATTGTTTGACTCAGATTCGATCAGGTTCCATTTTTGGTATACACGGTCTGCGACTATTCGTAAATAGCGAACGATTCGTGGTATATATAAATTGCTACAACTGCACCGGGTGACGGTGGCACGCCACGTAAAATCTAACGCTACAGTAATGTAATATGTCTGCGGGCAAGTCTCTGTAAACAGATACTCTTGTGATGATACAAATTCCAGATCGCTTCCCGATCTTCTGGAATTTCCCGTATCATTCGGTATCCGGTTTTTCCCCGTATATTCGCATAACAATGATCAACACATGAAATATATGTATATTATTATTTCAGCACACGTTTACATCATTATTATATGCACTACGTCTTTGTTCCGTATCTTGCTATTTAATTAAATTTTGTTTATGGATGCTTATATGTGAATATATATTCGTATATTATTATTATATAGCAAAGGGGAAAATATTGCATATATGCAATTCCACTGTCTGTGCAATACTCATATTTCGCATATCACAAAATATGTCACAAGTATCAAATTATAAAAACGCGTTGTAAACATACGTTTCTCCGTTTATTAAAGTTACATATTTAAACGTACAATCATATTTCTGCCAAATTCATACTAGAGTAAAACATGAACTCATTATAAAATGCACTGTAAGCAAATCTGATTAATATTATGTATAAATCTGGTTATATACGGGTCGCAAGACACTGTAATATTTTCCAAAAAAATTGCTCATGGTTGCATAGTTTGTGTGTTCTCTAAAAATATCTACTTCAAAAAAACTTCTCGAAAATAACGTAGCGCAAAAAAACTCGCAGTTTTCGAACAATTATCGCGGTTTGATTTTATCCATATACATTCGCGCAATGCAATTACGGAGGCGACCGAGACAATAGGAAACACTTTAGTATCGCGAATGGTTTTCATTTCTGGATAAATACGAAAGACCAATCGATAACGTTGAACGGCATAACAATTAACTTTCCACGGCGTTTTGTGATATGCATACATTTTTCAATCGAGTAGCACGACTCTGATAAATACAATAGGCGCACTGTACGTGACTGTATATACCCATCGATACATAGTGCAATGAATATTTCATCGAATATTTCACTAACGGTTACTAACTGTTTCAGGCAATTGCCATATCGCTTTTGCTGAATGTGTTATCTTACATGTACAAGGCATATTATACTTCCCCATATTTCTTTTTATCTATGGATTTTTTTTATCAAAAAACTTGACCAAATATTTTTTTTGTTTTACTTTTTACGCAATTGTAACAATTGTTTTATTATTTATAAAAATAAGATTAAAATTTGGTTAAAATAAAATCTAAGTAAAATTAAATAATGTATCAGTAATATATATAAACGACTCAAGAGCCATCGCTGGTGGTCGGTGCGAAATAAATTTTATTTTCATATAGAAATTATTTGTCTACGAAGAGACATTAAAATGTGCATCGATTAATTTTCATACATTCTAAGTATCTCAATTTGAGATCGGTGTACATTTTAATGTTTCTGTCGTGAACGAATAATTTCTATATAAAAATAAAATTTCGCACCGACAACCAGCGATGGCTCTTGAACCGTTTATATATATATATTAGTGATATTTATCACATTAAGTTTCTATTTGATTATAAATTATATATTTTGTTATAATCATTATATATATATATAAGGAAAAAATAATTTAAAAGTATTATTAATAACTATATTATATTATTCCGAATATTGACAAATATATTAAACTTTCAATATTAATAACGTAACATCTGTGTATTTGTATTTTTATGATAAATGTTGTACACATACTTTTTTATTTTGTGAATTTTCTTGTTCACATTTTTTCTACATGACACGACACAATGTTATTAATTTACTTTTTCCGGTGAACTTTTATTTAACACAATATGTAGCAATTTTTATTATGTTTCAGGTTGAAATGTTGTACCAGCGCTACTTCCTACGCATGAATCAAAGTAATATGACACACGTGCTCGGTCTACTGGCCGGTTTGGCGTTCGCATTGGGCCTACTACTTATTGTGAAATTAACGAGCGGCGACCTCTTCACCCTGCTACGAAGACCCGACAATCTCTCTCTCGCGATTACTCTATTAACCTGCGTCATAGTTTATGCTGGTAATTCAAACTTATCAAGTTAATTCCGCAATCCATACATTTATCGCATCAGTAAAAGTAAAATGTCAAAAGTTCATACAAATTTATCTCCCATGGAAATCACTATTTTTTACATAAATTTAAAATTTTTTAAAATACATCTAGAATTTTTTATTTCTTCGCTTTTGTTTACTAATTTTTCCATCAATTTGAAACCTTTTTAAACTACTTTTTAAATGTCGAGTTCTACCTTTAATAAAAATTCTATTAATATAAATTTATAATTATAAATGAAGAATATTTGTATATACGCTTATATTTTAATATATAAAAATTCGTAACTTTTTTATAAACTTACGACATTCTGTCAACGAAAAACTGAATCAAAATTGACCAAAGTACCCATGAATAAACGAAATATACTTGATATATCATATCAAAAATCTATTTTCACTGTTTACACGGAGAGAATGAGAGTTTGCGCTTTCATGAAATATGCAGTCGGGACATTACTAGAATAGCTCCGAAATAGCTCTGATGTTACAAGCGCTAAAAGAGGCGCATTATATCCGGGATACAGAGAATCTCACCGCTCTCCATGAGCGAGTTTCACGAGGTTCCGCTATCAATAATGCACGAGAATATTGTCTACAAGTGCTGTTTCCTTTCGAAAGCGTTAGAATTCGCGACATAGCTTTTCACGTCACAAGAATTCACAAAGCTCATTCCTTCGTCTTTTATTTCCGGACAAGCTTTATCCGAATAATATTATATAGAGAAAAAGAATGAGAGAGATAAAGAAAGAGATAGAAGAAGAAACTTCAATTAAATTTTTATATCTAAAGCTTATTTAATGCTACATAACATCGAAACTTGAAAGACTGTGATAAATGACTCTCGGCACTTCTGCTAAAGAAAAATTAATCCTACAATCCGCCAAGAAATCTGCTATTGGAGTTTCATTCATTTATTTTAGCATACCTCGCGCAATCTAAGAATCCTGAGAACATTTCTTTAATGCATTTCTCAAACAAGTGCAACTCTAAGAACTTCAGAGACAAGGGAACAAATTTTTTTCTTCCAGTATTGGTGGCAGCAATTTCTCGACCGGGCATGAATGAGATCTGGCTGGCGGGTGTCAGCGGCGCAGTGCTGGTTACCCTGCTAGCTTTGCAAGTGACTCTAAGCTTTCACTTGGCGAGCCTGCACGAAGACCCCGAGACTAGCGACGATTCGTCATCCTCCAGGTCAAGTAATCCTCACACCGGAGGACCAGTCGCCGCCGCCTTGGCGGTCTGTTTCTTCATCTACATGGCCTACGCTCTCCTACCGATCAGACTTCGACACGCCTGCATCGCCGGAATCGTCTTCTCAGCCGCTCATCTCATCGGAGCTTTTTTGCTCTATCGGCAAGATTATCCATCGTTGCTAGCACACGTAAGTTCAAATACTTTCTTTAAGCTTTCAAAAAATATCCTTTTCTTCGAGTTTATAAAATTTAAGAGATCATTCTGATAAAATAAAATCGGAAATTGCATTTTACACAATTGATTTCGAATATATCGATTAGTTGGACGGTCTAGATCCTTATAAGGATCCTCAATCCAGATAGATTGAGGTTTTTTAATGGTTTCTCAAAACTTTTAATGCCGCAATAATCTTGATGGAATTGGCAGTATAATTCAATATTGGTCATTATTAGACTGCGAAGGATCCATCCTTTAAAGTACAGAGTAACAGGTGTTTAATAATGGGAGCACTTGATAATCAAGGAGATATACGACGTGAAGTTTATCGCTTCGCTGCGAAACATGTGACAATTATAAGCTGCGGATTCACATTAATTAGTGATCAAGCTTGTATGCTACGTGTTGCGAAACAATTGGTAAAAGTAGGTTACTCGATGATATTAATTAATCAATATCACGCGGAGATATATGACAATGAGTTGCACGTTCACGTGTAATTCCGATGTATTGCCGCGTAGATCTTAATATCGATTTCCCGTCGAAATACTATTTATTACAGAATTGAAAAGCAAAACATATATCACTGTACACATAATAGTTTGTATGTCATAACTTTCGACAAGAATTATATCTCACGAAACTACGATAAAGCATTTATGTAATTAATACAAGACAAATTCACACTCAATAAATAAAAAATCCCACATAGCTTTTTATCTTTTGTAAAATTTCTTCAAAAAAATGATAAATTATTTAGAAAATGTTTCATTTTTACACTTTTGGAATTTTGACACATGTGATACTATACATGTTATCTAAAATTATATATAATTGATTAAAATACAAATTTGTAAAAATAAATTAATTTAAAATCATAAAAATAAATAACATGATAAAATATCAATCCGGAAAATAAATGTCTTATGTTTCTTAAATATTTCATATTGAAATATTTTGTGATTATCGGTGCGAGAGCGACGGTGCGAATAACAGTGCGATTATTAGCCAAACAGTCGCTGTAATCAATACAGATCGTTATAGAAACGATTAGAGCGCATGAAGTACATGATATAATACTCGACGACTACGCACGTATCTATTTATTAACAACGTACAAAGCGGGCACAAATGCCTGAAATGGGATGTGTTGTTCGCAAATAGCCGACGAACTGAATTCGGAATCTAATTAGAACGGATCTCGATCCACTTCAATGTTTGCCGGAGCGCGTTTCGGCACAGTATTAATCCCATTTCGATATCGAGTGTAACGTAAGTGTTCGTGAGTTATTTGCGTCTGTTCAGTTTTCTTTACTTCTACAAATAAAAGAAAAGAATGAAAGAATGAATAATAAAATTAAAAAATAAGAAGCAAGCTTTTAAAAAGACGGCATAAACAGACTACTCCCTGTAGACTATAATTTAATTAATTTTATAATAGAATTATAATTAGAAAAAATAGAACTATAATTAGAAAAAAATTATATATAAATATAGAACATTAGATATATAAATTACGTAATAATTCTAAATAATTTCTCAAAAAGAAGTTTGATATTAATTTAATGATAACTATACTTAAAAAATAAAAAAAAGAAATAAAGAACAAACAGATCAAACATCAAATAGCAATTGGAAAATTCATGTGTTGTTAGAATTGTATTCATTGCAAATTTTATTAGTTTTTTATTTATTAAATAAGCATTTTTATTAGAGAATCAAAAATCAGAAAATATTGGAAAGCCGCCTTGATATAAAATAAGAAAATAAATCTATGCAACGAAGAAATTAAAGGAAATAAAATGCCGATTTTGTTCATTATTAATTCTCATAAAAAAAGTTTGGTTTTATTGGATCTCCATTCAAGTGAACGTTTCCGTCCATCAAGTTTTCTGCCGGAATTCTCTTTACTCACGCTCTATTTAAGTTTTACTACGAAAACTCAGGATCCCGAGAGGAGACGTAATTAAGAAAATACCAAGACCGCGCTCTTGTCGCTTCCTGTTTTCAAGATTATTCGCTTTTAAAGAATAACATTTCTGTGCAAATAAGACAAGTTTATGATATCTAAAGCAATACGGTGTTAATAAAAAATCAGAACGCTACATTTTTGTACATAATTATAAAATTGCTCTAGTCATTAAGCCATTAATATGGATTGCATTAATCATATATAACAGATACTTTGCAAAATCCATAATTAATATATAAAGCTAGTAAATTATCCATATACAATATTTAATATTAAACATTTTTTACACATAAGACATTATTTAATATTTTTTAATAAATAAATGCACAAAAATGTAACTATCCCAAAAAATGTGTAACTTAAATCACTTTTATGGTTATAGAGAACAAATTGCGCGAAAGGAACAGCTTTCAGAATTATAAATAATGCAGAAAATATAGAAATAAATCAAATTCAAAATGCAACATTTAAACAGAGCTAGCAAAAGTTGATAATTTGGACAAAGTGAATATTATGTAACGTATCGTGTATCGTAATTTCTTTCAAATGTAATTTCCACTAAAATCTGCGCCCCATATATTAATAATTTATCTAGCTTGTCATTTTCGCATTCAGAAGAGTAATATCATACTGGTTTCATCAGCCGAACACGCGCCATGTTCCACAAAATAAACCGTAACTGCTTTTCGCGCGTGCAATACATATGACGTGACTGAGATCATTAAAGGTTCGGTAGAGCTTATGCTTTCAGATAAACCGTGTCGCGCCTCATATAAAAAGAATAGCCTCATATAGAAAGATAGCTTTTTAGTCATTAAAAAGCGTTTCAGAACCATTTAAAGCGACGCAAGTGAAAAGAATCACCCGTTTTTGCGCAGAGTTCCTACCGCTGACGCGGTTAATTAACCGACTTCAGTGACAAAATCACATGCAAAAAAAGCTTTAAAATATTAATGCAAAGAATCAAATCGGTCCTATCTTTTTTCTGAAAGATGTCAAGCTATTATTAATTAGTTTAGCATAAACACTCATTTTCCAGAAAAAAATATGTGTTCATTTAACTTTACAAATTTTTGTCATTTTACTTTTTTTAACATTAATCGGTAAAAAAGTTACGTTAAAATTTGTGCATTAAATTTTTTACAAAAAGAAGTAATGACAAAAATAACATTCTCAATTCAATGTCTGCTCGACTGCTTTATCAATTTTGTGAAATGTTTATAATAATCGTTTTTGCTTAAAAATTAACTCGGTGTTACTAATATAAGTTTTCCAACCGGCGGATGGGTCAAATACACGGCAGGACCTAAGCTTATGGCGGCGGAAACGCCGGCTTTAAACACGCGAAAACCTAACAATAAGAGTCCGAAACTTGTGGAAGAAATGCAAGCTGTCTAAAATGAAATGAAAGAAACCGATAGTTAAACCGATAGCTAAACCAACAGCTTCCGAAACTTTGAACATCGTCGAGTACGCTACACAACGGCTTATTAAGAATCTAGGATGCTCGTAAACCGACCCGTACAGCAAACAATTTGATCCCTTGAGATGAAAAACCACAGGGTAGTAGAGCCAAGAGTCGACCATCAAACTGTAAAAATTTCAGCAAAGTCGACAACAATAAAACATCTACGCAGACAAGACATTGTTCTTTTGAATCGTTAAACTTACTTTTGGCGGGAGAGACAAAAGAGAGAGAGAGTTGTGACATGAAATTGATCGTTCGATAAATCGTAAAATGCAAAAGAAATCTATATATTTAAAAAAATGACTTTGATAGCCTGAATAATCCTATCAAAGATAAATTTACCATAAAATCCATGCTATGGCAAAAGGAACAAAAAGTTGTTAAAATTAAATTAAAAGCATAGTAGGCTTTATTACTGTTTGTGATTTACGCTCCCTACAAAGTTCCCTTGTAAAAAGTACTTTAATTAATTGCTTTTTCTTAATTGGTTTCTTAAGCTAAAATGTAAATCACAATGTGAATTGTTTATAATGAAGATGAGACGATGTAATGAAATATATTGCATGAATTACTCTTATTACTATAATTTTAATCCTTCAAGTTGCAACTTTAGCGCGTTTTTCGCTTAACTCGTGCTAGGATAAATTGAAAGATAGCAACTGGCTCTATATTAATCAGCTTACTGTGTAAGCCACTTGATCATTCCAGGACAGCATCACATCTACTTACGAGATTATAACTATTAATAACGCGACATTAATCAAATACTCTTTCGTGTTTCATATTATTATTTTGCATCCACCTGTGTAAATGTATATTCAACAATATTATATTATACAATTATATTAACGATATGATATTATATATAAAGTATATAAGTCGTTTTAACAATAAATGTTCTAAAATGTTTTACAACGTAGTTTGCAAAATATTATTTTTACGAATTATCATTCAAGTGTGGAAATTATTTACCATAAAATTGAGCTGTTACTAAAAAAAATTCAATTTTTAGCAAAAATGTATTGTCGTGAAAAGTGAAAAAAACATGAAGAATTCATTTTTTCATTAATTAAAAATGCAATGCTATTTTTCAGCAACAAGTTAACAATTTTCGATCGATTTATCTGAAACTTTTAAAGAACATCCGTTGACATATGTATTTTCGGCATTAATGATCTTATTACTTAGAGTCAGAGTTAGAGTAGCGCGTGATAGGCTTAGTAAACTTGTTGCCGAGACCTGTCCGATAAGAGCGAAACTCAACAACCACCCTCAAACGGGTCGTCCTTTGAACACTATTCGTAACGGAGATGCAGTGGTCGAAAGACGCCGCCGCCTGCACTAATGGAGGCGGACATCACGTTCTAGGTTTGGCGATTGCATCGCCTGTTCCGCCTTTGGAATTCAGCTCTTAGTTTCGGTGAACCGCATCTCCGCGAGCTTGTTTCGGATAATTGTTGCTTTTCAATAGGGCTTCGTCGGAAGACCCGATACCGGATGATTAACGTCGCTGTTGTAGAGAAATCCTTGT